TATACCCACGTGCAACTAACCTAGCCTTATATTTGACAATATTGTTGTCACTGTCTTTCTTTATTTTAAATACCCATTTGCTATCTATAGGGGTTACACCCTTTGGTAAATCTACAATAGACCAAGTATTATTAATATCCAATGATGAAAGTTCAGCATTAATAGCATCTTTCCAACAAGCTGGTAAATTATCAAAATCATCAAAATGTAAACATTCATCATCAGATTCCATGCACATATACACATGATAGTCTGGAAACTCCTTTATCTTTCTATTACGCAATGGATATCGTTGAGAATTTTCACTTTCGACATTTCCATTACTGTTACCACTACACAATGGATCCACATTTATCACTGACTCACTTTCACTTTCTGATAAATTATCACAGTCTAAGAACACAGGATCACTATCACATGAATTATGTATAAAATCTTTACCTGAACTTGGAACCTGGTCACATGCTTGAGCTGGATCAGCGGTGACAGCCCTTGGGGCCATAGACGATGATGCATGTCCTCTTGTCACTTTCTGAACTTTGCTGCTGTTGACTTCATCAGCATCAGGAATTAAGGATATCACAAAATCATGATTTTTCGAAGATTCCTTCTGATGTTTAGACTGCTGCTCTGTTAAATCCTGTTTAAAAATATCAACACATACTTGTTCTGGTAGGAATTTAACATCTCTAGATAAAACTATCTTTCTGTCCTCTGTCCATATTCTATACCCATCTTTGTCTCCACAATATCCAACTAAGTTTCCCTTTATTGCCTTTTTATCTAGCTTTCTGCGCTTTTGGTCAGGTACATGAATAAAACATTTTGTGCCAAATATCTTCAGATGACTTATATCAGCTTTTTTGCCAAACCATAAACTGTATGGTGTAGATGAGTCATCAACACCTGTTGGACCAGTCCTATTCAGAACATATGCAGCAGTGTTAACAGCTTCTGCCCATAGCTGCTTATCAAAATTATTTGCATGTAGCATACTCCGAGCTGCTTCCATTAATATTCTGTTTTCACGCTCCGCAGCTCCATTCTGCTGTGGGCTATATGGAATGGTCATGCGATGATTAATTCCAAATGATGACAATATGGCTTGCATTTCCTTGTTTATAAATTCTTTACCTCCATCAGTTATTAATTCTTTTATTGTATGACCTATTGTCTTAGCTTCCAAAATAAAGTTCTTTGTTACTTCTGAAACTGCTGTCTTTTCTTTTATAAAATATACTTTTCTGTATTTGGAGTAATCGTCTTTGAATGCAATACAATATCTACTACCTCCAACAGATACTTCAGCAATGGGGCCACAGACATCAGCATGAATAATTTGTCCTGGTACCTGTGCTCTGATATTTCTTGTATGAAAAGGCAAGCGAGACATTTTACCAAACATGCACCCATCGCAAACAATTTTTTCTGCTGGCTGGAATGGAATATTATTCAGTTTTAAGAATTTTTCAACATGTCTAATATTCTGGTGACATAGGCGTTCATGCCAGATATTTAAGTCTGCCGTATGACTACTAAGCATACAATAATTTTCAGGTAATATCACCCTCATCTCCAATCTGTACATATTTCCCTTATTTCTTATTGCAACTGCTTTTATGTTATTGCCATTTTTAAATATTCTTTTATTTTTATCACCTATTTCAATTAAATTATTTTTTAAAGCTGACCCTGAAGAGAATAAATTCTGTTTACAGGTAGGAACAAACCAAGCATCTTTTAAATGACCTTTCTCCCATTTTCCATTAACCAACATTTTTATGTCTATGATGCCAAATCCTACAGCCATCATTTGACTACCATCTCCGAGATAAACTGGAATTGGGTTATCAAATTGTTCATATGAAGCAAAATACTCTCTATGTGAAGTAATATGGTGTGACGCACCAGAATCTATTATCCAGTCCTCTTTAGTTATCACGGTACTATGTGCAACAAAAGCATGTCCATTTGTAGAATCAGATTTTTGTTTATTTTTAAATTTAAAACAATGTTTTTTGATATGTCCTTTTCTTTTACAATAATTACAAACTGGACCTTTATTATATATACGCTTTTCAGTCTTTGCAACTAGAGCGACTTCACTTTCAGGTTTGCTTTCATTCAATCTTTGCTCATGTAAGCGAAGACGTTCCATTAATGTGGTTACATTTCTATCCGATGCAGGGACAGATTCCCATGCATTTTTGAACTCAAGATAGTTAACAGGCAATGTATTCAGTATTCTGTTTAAAAGTAAGGACTGAGGCAAAGTACTGCCTTCATTTTTCAATTCTAAGTTTAATTGAGTATACAGTCTTTGTAACTTAGAGACATGCGTAGCTATACTGTCCTCTGGTAACTTTTTATACGTAAATAGCTCGCAGTACAAAAGATCCAGTCTTCTTTCATTTTTCTGTTCATACACAGCATGAAGAGTATCCCACATTTCTTTCGCACTTTTGCAGGTTAAAATGTGCTGTTTCGGCTCTCTGCCTACTGTTGAACCTATTAAATACCTTGCAATTGATTCCTTTTCATGGTATAATTTGAAAGACTTTGGTTCTTCTCCATCTTTTGGTTGTTGCGCTACACCGGTCACATGGTCCTCAACTCCATGTAGGGTTATTTGTAAGTTGATATCGAATTTCCATGAAATCCAATTACCTTCACCCTCCAACTTGTCCACTGTGATTTTATCTAATCGCACAGACATTATTGACAAGTACCTCAAGAAGTTCTGAACAAAAAACTTTCAACCGGAAAAAAAAAAATGGCGGCTGTGACTTGTGGAAATTGTTCTAGTTTTGTACGAATAATTACAATACCATATAAATGGAAAATCAGGCTGGGCCATAACCTGTTATGATTATTATTGTTATTACACGTCAAATAAATATGTTATTACAAGTCAACTAAATGGATTATTAACGATGGAGAAGAGAAATAAAAAAACAACCTTTTTCAGTTCTGTCATTGACACACAAGAAGTTTTTTTTTTTTATTTTATAATACCATAAACAAAGTTAGGGTTGCTATATAAAGTTCACAATAAACTATACTTCAACAAGATCTTTTTCCTATTTTTAGAGTCATAAATTATGCAGGAGTAAGTACTCTATTTACTACTTAAATTAAAATTGAGTACACATACAGGTCGTAGCGTAAGGTACATAACTTTTTCGTAATTTAGAATATTTCAAATCCCAATAAAATAGAACGAATACGTCATTTAAAAAAAAATTAAATCCCTAGTGGATTAGGGAAATCGGAGATATTTGTCAACTATTACCGTTGTGATAAACGTGACACTCGATATTAAAATTCGATGTGGAAATTTAACAAGTCTACAGCTATCAGTGTTTACTTGACGAATTTTCTTTTCTTTTTTTTACTGCCTTAATTAAGTTCGATTCCGTAAATACCTCACGTTTTCATTGTTTACACTGAAATGATCTAAATTAATGCTCATGAAAATTGGCAAATACAGAGTAGTGACGTAAACAAACATTGTAGATGAATGGAGTCGCCGTTGTAGTTTTCTTTATAAAATCCCCTCATCGATATTTTATCCGAAGATCCTATTCTTAATCTATATTGTTATCCTTTATAGATAGATATCTAGATAATATGACGATTTTATAACATATGTCACCTTTAATGTGACTACTTATCATTTGTTTCGTTAGGCAACGTTATCATTGATCAGGCCATATAGATCACTCCACTCGCGCCACTTCGCCGATTTATTTTCAGCATCCGCCATCACACAACAAAGTGTACGTCGGTACACTATAGATATAGTGTTATCTAATTGTATTAGTATACTCACGAACAAAATAATATTGTGAATTATATTATAGGAACTATCTGTGCTCCCGAAATGTTAGTTCGAAGTGTTTTTATGCTTTTTCCTCATAGAAATAAGACATTATTACAAATTTTTAAATATCTAACTTTAGAATAGACTTAATAGTTTCTATGCATGATACTCGTATAGTATAGCAGACACATTTTTTTATATGGTGTAATAATTTTAAAAAAGTTTGTGTACATATTCAGCCTAATATTCGTTACGCTGATGGATATATTATTTTTAGAAATACGATCGGTCAATCGAATAATCGTCGCTTTCAATCTCTTATTGAGTTCAATTCAAGGCAATGAAAAATGTATTTAACATACATACTACTAAACTCAAGCAGTGTTTTTTAAATATATCTATAATGAACAAATAAATGTATTATGTAGTAGATTTTACTAGTATCTAGTGTAAAATGTCCTTGAATTTATGATTAACAATATTACGACACATGTAGGTATTTAATATCTATTTATACCTACATAAATAAAAGAAACCGCTATTATTTAGCCATATATGTCAAAAATATTATGAGAAAAGTAAAATGGATGTAGAATAATTAGGGTAATTATTTTGATAATTTTAATACTTGTAAATAGCATAATAAAATAAAGAAAATTATTGGTTTATACCAATAGGAATTGAACAGGAACCTGAAGAAATTTGCATAGACAACAGTTTTCGTTTAGTTGGCGTGGCAATTAAAAAACATTTTGTAAACCAACACATATTTGTGACTTGTTACTCAAGTAAAAGTGATGAAAATTGTATCAATTTTAAGAAAAAATATAAATTTCGGTAGAAATAAAAGACTTCATCTAGCAATATTACCTTCTAATCAAAGAAGTCCTGTCTTGCTCTATACCTAGGTTGTATATTGTATTACCACCTAGGTAGGTACTGTAGCAGAGGAGGCGAAATTGTCATACACATCTTTTTTCTTTATTAATTCTCTCTTTCTCATCTCTTTGCGTATTTTATCACATGTATCATGGGGAGTTTTCAACATGTACAACCCGCCACAAACTAAAGTTTATTAACCCAACCATATGGATGAATGGCGGTCGTCCACACACAAGCAAAGTATGGAGCCAACTCCCAGCAGCAGTCTTTCCGAACAGGTACGACACTGAAACCTTTAAGAAAAGAACATATTCCTTCCCAAAAGATCGGCAACATACCTGCAATTTCTCTAATGTTGCGGGATCCTATGAGTGATGGTAATCACTTAAGTACCATCAGGTAACTCGCATTCTCGTTTGCTGCCTATATTATAAAAATATATATTATTTCAAACTAGATAGGTTTGTCGTAAACATCAAATTACAAATAAAACTACATACAGTCTTAACAATTTTGTCTTCATATATGTTTCGTTAAAAGCGAGTCGTCGCTAAGACTACTTCAAAACTCAATTATTCTTATATTTACTATTGTTGTATACAGACGTTTCAGATCATCAGATTAACAACTGTGAGTCTATATTTATATAGCTTTACTCAAATTATAAAAATAATTAAACATGTGTGATTTTCGTGACTGATCACATTTTTTAATAATTATATAATAAACAGACGCAGACGTATCAAAAACTCTTATTAATTTTCGATTTTACCATTTTAAGTATTAATTTATTTTTAAATTAATATATTTAAATTTATAACTTGTACAATAAGGTTTCAATCTTATCAACCAACCTAATTATCTGGTTTACAGGTGAAATCCCTGTTAGGTAACAGGCAATAAAAATGGATTTTCGGGTATCCTTAGGGATACTGTTGTTAGGATTTGGAGTAAATTCCTCATCAACGCCTGTAACCTTATCCGATAATGACATTGAGAAAGAAACTTCCGAGTGCAGCCCGCTCGTAATAGCACACCGTGGGGCAAGCGGTTATATTCCCGAACACACTCTCGGCGCATACACCCTTGCACTTACAATGGGTGCAGACTACATCGAACCAGATCTCGTGATGACTAAGGACGGATATTTAATAATTCGGCACGACAACGAATTGGGATTAACCACAGATATCTCACAACATCCAGAGTTTGCTGACCGTCGCCGAAAGAAAACTGTTGACGGAATTGAATTAACCGGTTGGTTCACTGAAGATTTCAATTTATCGGAAATAAAAATTTTACGCGCAATCGAACGCATACCGACTATAAGACCAGGCAATGCCAGAATGAATAACTCATTTTCTGTGATGACCTTCCAAGAGATTATAGACCTAGCCAAGAACTTTCAACATGTGCAAAAACGTGTTATTGGCATTTACCCAGAAATTAAACATAGCACGCACTTCCGACGCCTGGGTTTGCCCATGGAGCAATTAGTAGTAGACACGCTTCATCAAAATGGATATATTGGATCTAATGCACCAATTTACATACAATCCTTTGAAGTAAATAATCTTAAAGAGCTTAAAAATATCACAGATTTACGACTGCTGCAATTGTTCGATAACAAATCTACTCAACCATTTGATCAACGAGAGCTTGGAACTGGTCTAACCTATGGTGATATGGCAACATTGGAAGGATTAAAAGAAGTTGCTAAATATGCATATGCAGTAGGTCCGGACAAAAGTTATATTATTCCAAGAGATTCTAATAATAGACTAGGTAAAGCGACTGCTTTTGTGAAGGACGCTCATAGCGTTGGATTAAAAGTGCACCCCTATACTTTTCGGGCAGAAAATTTTTTTCTTCCTGCTAATTTTCAAAGTGTTAACAGTGACGAAAATGCTATTGGAGACTTAAAAAGTGAAATAGAAACATATCTTGCAACCGGAATCGATGGACTCTTCTCTGATCATCCAGATATACCTGTTCGTATTCGAAGCACTTGTGTAAAATAGTCTAGGTCTAAAACAAGTAAATAGATAGATAATTAATTACTTGGAGGTACCTGAAAGTTTAAAAATTAAGCGCTTATGTCAAAAGTTATACTTAAATATGTAATAAGCTCCTATAAATTACATACTTAGATATTTTTATTTATTTATTCATTAGTAGAAATATGTTTACAAGATGGACTTAATGCTAAAAGCATTCTCTCCCAGTCAACCATAGGGAATTGTCAGAATACTCGAATGCGGTACTAGTAATTATTGATATACATACATACTAAAATTACATATATAAACGAATAAATATATATATATATAAATAACAAATATACTTACACATATATGACATATACTATCATCATCATCATCTTCCTACCCTTATCCCAACCATTTGGGGTCGGCGTAATATGATTTTATCCATATTACAAAAAGATTTGGTTTTTTAGTTTTACAACTGGCCACCTGCCTGACGTCAACCCTCTTTGGGAATGCATTTGTTGGTGGTTTCCGCCACCTACGGTATAAAGTAAAGGATTGAAGAAAAAAGGAAGGGAACGTTGGGAATGTGTAAAGTACTATACATATACTATATTATACACAAAATTGAGAATAAAGTGCTTATAATATAAAGTAGATATCTAAATCATATACGACTACGTACTTTAATATTTCTGCACACATAGTAAATTTTTATTTATTGTATCTATTGAACATATACCAATTCATGTGATATATTTAGTAGTCTAGTTATCTATTTTAATATAAATAAAAAAAATAAAATTTAAATTAATAAAAAAAAGACATCTCTGGAATCAATCTAGCTTTCGATTCGCTATAAAATAAAATGCCATCAGGTATTTACTAATCTAATATATACAATAATCAGACGGATACTGGGTATGACTACGAGATTGCCAGATGTGATTTTTTATTTTTACCCAAATGTCTAATATTTTTTCTCCAAATAAAAAATTTGTATCAATTTTTATATTTTGTCATGTACCACAAAGCAAACGATTCTTCCTCCCTCTCTTATTGCAATCCTCTGTTTGTTACCTTCATTGATATATTTTATTGTATTTATATACGGTATAATACAAATACCAAAACTGTCAAATAAATTATCTAAATTTCTCCAAGCCCATTTCACTTTTCTCCGAAAAATTCTACAAGAATTTGATTACACTAAAATTTCGCACACATAAACGCGTTTACACAAAATTGCGGAAAAAATGTCCAATCTAGCAACACTGCAGAACTTGAAAGCTGTACTAATATTTATTAGAGTCCTAATAATAGCAATTTTATCGGTTTCATAGCTCATCCTGAATCGAATGTTAACATCTATCTTAATATGATCCACTTTACTTGTTTCTTTCGTTGACTTTGTACAGTGTACAATGTAGTTCGAGACGTCCAATATGTTCTACTGGGGGGACAGGGATTGTTAGTAATGGAGACTAAGAATCCTATTGCTAGCAATATACCCAACCAGGTCGACCTCCTCGCGGTTCCCCCTGGAAACTGTCATGGTTAATTCCTGATGAATGCATCATGATGGGCTAACTGGCCTGTTTTCATTTTCATCAATTACCCTTCACTGGTGCTCCGCTAGCGTATCCCGTTAGCGCAGATTCCATTTTTTCACCAATATGTCCTACTCATAAGTAGGTACTTACATGTAAATAAGTAATATAATTTTATAAGTTAAAAATGTATGATAAGTTAACAGTACAGTCAAGTAGTATTCTCTTCTTCTTACCGAAATGATTTTAAATTTCTTTTCGTCTAATCCAGACAATTAATTGCTATTTCAGCAGATACTCGGAACTTGTATAGAATCTACCTACTTTAATTTATGAGAAAATATTTTTCAAATACTAAATATTAATTGTTCTTACAATTAATTACATTTTTGGATATTATAGAACTGAATAGAATTGGATATCATAAAATCACTGTGTTATGAAAAGATCCACATACAATATAATTATACAAAATTGGTATACTTATAAAAAATATAGGATACTATATTATTATTTACTATCAGTCACTAAAAACATCAGTCTTAAATATAGAAAAAAAAAGAACAGCCACGGTTTTGAGGCGCCATTTCTCTAAACTTATCGCTTAACCTAAACTTTAATGTTTTAGCGAATTACTGTTATATGAACTATAATTTTTTTTTTATTTATAAAAATGTTGACGTGAATCTGTTAGAAACCGAGTTCATATTAGTCCACAGAATAAAGATTTCGCTGTAGTATCAGATTAATATTTAGATTTTAGAGATAAGTTTAGAAAAATGACGCACCAGACAACCATATGCCTAATTGAATTATATTATAGATAGAATATCATAAACAGGTCAACATTCAATCACTTAATTTCACGTTTGGCTGAATTAATTTGACACATTCTTTTTTTAAATAAAAAGAAAACGTGCTAATTTTTCAAAGATCCAAGTAATTAGATTAAAAATTTCCCGAACGATGCTCCGAGACTACGATGTATATCCGAGTACAGACCCAGAATACGTAACCCATCTTAGTGCAGAAAGGTTTAAGACAGTGTGAAGTCATATTCCCGAAACTGTTCACAGCTATATTGAAAGATGTTTCAAACTCTTGGACTGGAAAGGATATGGTATAAACATCAATGGCGAATACATCACTGATCTTCGATTTGCCGATGACATAGTTATCGTAGCTGAATCCCTGGAAGATTTGTATACTATGCTTAATGGCCTCAATGGTGCTTCTCAACAGGTAGGTCTTAAGGTGAACATGGACAAGACTAAAATCATGACTAACGTCCATGTCACTCCTTTACCGGTTACGATTGAAAACACTACGCTTGGAAGTTGTGAACGAGTATGTATACCTAGAACAACTTCCGAATAGGTAAGTCCAACTTCGACCGAGAGTTCAACCAACGAATCTAACTCAACTGGGCAGCGTTCGGAAAACTACGCCACATCTTTTCATCCAAAATACTTCAAAGTTTTAAGACGAAGGTCTTTAATCAGTGCGTATTACCAGTAATAAGTTATGAAACAGAAACATGGTTCTACTCGACTTCCCATATACAAAAGCTTCAAATTACTCAGCGAGCTTTTAAGAGAGCTATGCTCGGAATTTTTTGCGTGATAGAATCCAAAACGAGGAAATCCGTAAAATAACGAAAATAACCGACATAGCCCGAAGAATAAGCAAACTGAGTGACAATTGGGTGGTCCTCTGTCCCATTCATGTTTCAATCGTAAAGCAGTTGTGTTTGAATGGCTGTGTTTCGGTTTGAAGGGTGGGATATGCCGTGAATTTACAGAGCACAGAGGAATAACATCTGAGTCCTCAGGAATGGCAACGCATGGAGGATATCATAGGCGAAACATGGTACTGCTCATGTCTATAGACGACGGTTACCACTTTCCATAAGGTGAGCCGTCAGCTTGTTTACCATTCTCAGTTGTATAAAAAAAACACATAGCTTAAAGAACCGACAACAGGTGGAGAAGAAAGGTTCTTCAGGTACTACTCCGTATGGGCAAACGCAGTGTAGGACGACCCCGCACTAGATGTCATAAACGTAACATATATATATATATATATATATATATATATATATATATATATATATATATATATATATATATATATATATATATATATAAAGACCGCGATATATATACATATATCGCGGTCTTTTCTATGGTTGGATGACATTAATCAATTGCAAATCCTTGTTCTTAGACATTAATCGGTGATAAATTGACATAATGTCAAACGTCAAAACAAAACCGCAATGTTGTCATGTTTATAGAAAAGTTCATGTCAGATCTGTGAGTTATAATATTAACGTTTTTGTATAATACTATGTTACCGTTCTCAGCTATGTACCACCGTGGCAGACTATAGCAATCTTAAACAGATATTACATAAAGAAACGTACCGGTTAAAGACCTTCGTCTTCAAATTTTCAGTGCTTTGTACAAATTTATGCTCTACACGGAAACTGAACTATAAAATACGACATTAAATATTCCAAATAGACCATTTTGAAAATGGACTTTGTATTTCATTAATTATATTGAACACAACGAAATAATTAAAGTGGGAAAAGCTAATGAACACATACAAAGGCATATAATAACAGTTATGCAATGCAATTTATTTTATTATATTGATACTTCTAGATGATAGCATAGATTCATTTTCTTACTTCGTTAATATAAAAGTAGTGCCAACTGTTAATTAACATACATAACTAAATCACTTCTTACAAGTACAGATAAATTTATCGCAGTTTACTCTGTATTGTACCTATAACTTATAATACTTATTCTATTTCAACATGAAATTTCTGAAAATTTACACAATAATAGAAATGTGAGGAGCTGTAGCTTGTAAGCATTTTTCAGAAATGATAAGGCAACCTCTTAAATTTAGAAAGACAATTTTTGTCATATGTGTTTTATTTTTAAGTAAGTATACTATTTTTGGTTATCATAATTTTTGTTTCTCTGTCAGTAACAATCTGCCTGAAAATATAGTCTTAGTATAGTTATTACTTTCGAAATATATAATAAAATTATACAGTAATTTTAATTAAAGTAAATGCCAAAACTACATAGCTAATAAAAATAAGTAAAAAAACAACTAATGAGTATGAGTATAACTTAGACGAAATCGTACGAATGAGAAAAAAAGGTAAGAAATATCTTCGATTTTAAATATCAATAAATAGACCAGTAAGTATTCTTATAAAGGTTATTTTATTGATGTTGAGGAATAATGCTCCTCAAGTCTGAGTCAATAGTCAAACTATTTATTATCCAAACGAAGTCATGGACAAAAGCTTGTAATAAATAAATAAACACAGTACTATAACCCCTGACATGGTAGTAAGAAGTGTTTGTCAAGTACACTTGATAGATATAATTCATAAATTTTTATTACAATTATTATATTTTGTTTTGAGCACACCAGTAAAAAATATATCCTTAAATTGTTACTGTTCTGATAAATGATCACACAATATCTACGTTTTACCAAGCATCATAGAATCCAATATGATAAAGGGCTATGTATCAGATTTATATCTATAGGTGATGGTTACCACTTTCCATCAGGTGGGCTGTTAGCTTGTTTGTCATTCTAAGTTGTATAAAAAAAAATATAATTATATACTCATGTTTTAATTCCTGGATAAAAATAGCATTTAGCGATAAGGTTGCCCATTGTTGTCTCACTGTGAATATTTTTTGTAAATGTTTGTATTTATAATAAATTTACTATTGTAATCTTTTGAAGAAAATAATAAGGAGTATCTATTTATCTATCTATAATCTTAATATTTTTTATAGGTGTAAATTATAATGGGTATTGTATAATAAATTTTTACACAGTTTTGTCACAGTTGAATTCAGTTTTTTTGTAGCATACAATCTTTATTACAATTTTTACTCTTTGTTGGGTAGCGGCCCTGCTCCATAATCTCTTGACCAATTTAAATAATATATAAATAATATTAAACTCCAAATGAAATAAAGAAATAAAATAGTGCATAATGATCAGTACATATTATCTCTTTCATTATGTGGACTTAAAATTACTACATGAACATATCTTAATAATTCATTGTTGTTTGAAGATGATAAAAATCATATTTGGCAATTTTATGTTGAGTAAACCAGAAAAAACAACATATGTAATTTTGATATTTTTTCTTGTTTACAGTAATTTTATTATTTCTTATAAGCAGAAAAGATACTGATATTATTAACAGCAGTAAAAAAATATCTGAAGATATCCCAGCTGTGTGTACCGAGATTTCAGTTCAATACCAAAGAGGGAACATGTTTATGTAGACAAAAGAAAAAATGGCATCTAACAGTGCAATTGATGATAATATAAAACAGGAACTGCAGGAAACCAGAGCTCAAATAGAGCAACTGAAGAAAAAATTGCATTTTTAGAA